TCAGCACTTGAGGAAGGTCAAGAGTCTGAGCTGCTACCTCGAGGGCGTCGGAGCTCGCAAAAAACAGACGAACATGCTGCGCTGTGTAGGCTTGGCCTGCTACGAGATCGACGCTGCCATCATGCGAAACGCCCAGAGCTTAGTGATACACCAGGACGTCTCCCAGCTGACCCTCCTGGTTCGTTTCAGTCTGTGCACAAGCGACCTGTGCGTGGTAAAGGGTCTCTTTGGCCTGACGGATCTGGAGAACGGATCTCATGCCTGCCTCTTGGCAGCCACCGAAAGGGTAGTCAGGCTCTTCTGCTGCGACGACGACGACCTTGTGCAGCACGTGCGCGCCGTCACAGAACTCATAGACATGGATGCGGCGTCGGATGAGCAATTGGCAGGCAGGCTGATGCGAGCCAGCGGTGCCTTCTTCCCGGGCGCCAAGCAGGTCCTACGTGACCCGACGCACGCGACACGGCGGCTGCTTAGTCGTCCGTTCGCCGCCATACCCCAGATTGCCACGATCCACAGCACCCTCGTCACCGGCTTGAATGCCATGCCGCACACCATCCAGTGCAGCGGAGTCTTGGGCAATGTTTTCTCCAAGCACTGTTCCGAGCTGGATTCCCATGCCGTAACCGGCAAGCGGATCAAGTCTTTGCAGATGAGACATCATCGGTTTGATTCTGCACAGAAGCCAGCCTGCAGAATGATACTGTACATCAAGCCAGTGATCCTGACCGCCATATATGCAGCAGTCCATCGGCGCGGCGACAGGGATGCGGAACGTGCCGAGGCCTTTCTCGACTTCCTCGACATGAGGACCCCTGCAAAAGCTAGACCTTACAGCCCAGCAACAGCAATAGCTTGGATAACCGCCAATATTCTGACAGGAGTCTCGTGTTGCTCGCCATGATGAGCGACGCGGCCGATGAAGTTATCACTCTGCTGCGCGTGCTAGACACCGAGAATTTCGAGATGGCTGAGATCAGTCTGGAGATAGACAGCATGCTGTCTCGCTTGAAGTACCTCTTCTTGCAGGCGCGATTGGGTGCATTTTCGCATAAGTGCGGCTCGGGTGCCGCGCGTTGTCTCCAGGGTTTCGGCGTCTGGGGTCTAGACATCGGCAGCTGCTCCAGGAGCATGTCTGGGACTGCGGCTACACGGCCTATATCCTCGAGGAGCTCAAGCAGCCCACGGCCTTCTTGGTTCGGGGTCAGCCGAAAACACTGGGCGGTGTGCCTAGTCGGGCGCTCCTACAGGAGTGCCTGGGAGTGATGAAGACTTTCGTCTACCTTTGTTCTGAGACTGTGGTCGCAGAATTCCCAGTGATAGACATCTGCTCTGCCTTCCGGATTTTCGATCTGTCCATTAAAGGGCGCGACCGCGGTGCGGAGACAGCTGAGCACCTGCCTGACACGCGCGACTGCGCGGCCAGGCTATGCCAAGCGTTCGACGTGCCCCTAGAGCCGTTGTTGCATGAGTTCTGGGATCACAGACGCATCGCAATGCACCACGCCATCTCTCACGACTGTGGTTCTTTTGCTGCGTGGAGGGAAGCAGTCTACAAGACAAGTGCCAGGAGTGGAACTGCAGACCGTCATCCATCCGACCATCTTCGTGAGCTCTTGATTCGACTGGGTGCCTGGGGAGGTGGCACTACGTCGGGGGTTGAGCGGCAGTTCGCGCAGAAGCGCACGCACATTACCGCCGATAGAAAGACCATGGATGTTGAACTCCAAAGATTGGAGATGAAGATTGTGTCCGACTTCGACCGCTGTGGCCCGGATGCCGTCTGCAA